TCTGTCTTCCCTTAAACTATGGGATTAAATTTAATTTATACCTTTCCTTTTACCAACTAATTTTTTCTTACTGTATTGTGTCTTTATATGCAATCTTTCTTCTATATATTACAATCATTGAGTTAATTACTTCTGTGAATTCGGTGTTTATCTTGTTGTGTTAATGAGGTATGGCAACTTGGACCGATGAATATATGTGCCTGGTCCTATGTTGTAGCTGACTGACTGATTATTCTTCCTATTTAAAAAGTCGATCTATATTCAATTGTTTTTCACTCAGAACTAAAATAATCCATTGGAAATCATATAACATTAAGTAATGGTGTCACTCAATTTTGAAACTCATTGACAATATTTAATCATTAGTTTCAAGATGTCATAGTCATTGTAAGACCTGAATAACCTGGATCTATTTTGATTTATCTCGTGGATATTCAATGCTGAAAAATCACACATTAAGATTGTACACCTATCCATTACTACCTTGCTTTCAATGATTCATTGAATTTAGAATTCATGTCATATCAAAATTCAAATGTCTTTAAATTATATCATTATTCTACATAGTCACCGTCAGTGTACAAGTCAATCAAAATACTTATTCCTATCTCTAGAATATACATTCCTAACATGAATATTTCCATGACCATATTCTTCACATTATCACTGCTAATTTGTGACTAAGCCACCATTTCCTGTATATATATTCATGATGAAATGAAGTTGGAATGGAAATATTGTAAAACACTGTGTGTTTCTAAATATTTATTATCTAATCTATAAATCTGTTTTATTCAATATAATAACTTCAAACTTTTAACAGTTTTGTTCGAATCTAGTTTAGTATTCATGAATAAAAGTGTCATCAATAAGAACGTATTATGTTGTATATGTTAATCAGAATGTTTTGATACTACAATATTTATAACTCGTGCTTACGAAATAAGTTATTGATTAGTCAGTAGAGAGTACTAAATAGTTAAAATTATACAAGGTATTACTATTAATCATTATAAGTAAAATTTGTTCTTTGATGCAAATGTACACATTCATCTACGGTCTTTGGTTTCTCTAATTGTTCGATTCTCATAAGTCTATAAGAATTTTTTCTAAATCGAAGAATTGTGTATTCAAGTCAGAAAGCAATAGACATTTAATCTTATATACAGATAGAATAAAATAAATGAAAAATTTTCATTTCGGTAATCAATAGAATAAGAAAAGTCATATCCGTTTTATGAGATAGTAATAAAAAGAAATAATTCAGAGTGTATTTTATTATGTAATCATGTAATTAAGCTGTAAGTATACACTTTATTTATTGTAAACACTAACGATCAGTTTGACTATATCTAATAATAATGCTTTTAATAGTAAAAATGATTACTGAGATCAAAACCTTGATGTTAGTCATCTGAAATGTTTTATTTTAGGTTCAACTTCTTAGTCTACTAAAAATAATTATGTATTAATTGTGTTTACACGGTGCATTCCATTCATAGATACTTCCACTGTTGTAAATTTGTGTTTTCATTCATTGACTACGGGCATATTTAAAGTTATTAATACACTCTAGATAACTGTATAAGATTTGTAGGTGGTCGGTATGTCGTTTACTTATTAGAAGGTTATCAACACTAGACGAAATCGATGTGTTCGTTTCAGTCTTCCTTAATGATGAAAAAAGGATAATAACAATAATGATGACAACTATTATTATTTCGTAGTTTACATAGCGGAATAATATTTGCTAGGCAACTATTGAAAATTAAAAGCCACAGAACATATATTTCATCCTAATATGAAACTAAACAAAGGTTCGTACTCATTTACCTTCGGTGGAGATTGAATCTAGAACCTTCACATCTCTTATCAAGCGTATAACCACTGAGCTGGCACTCACTGGTTGGATGATGGTCACTGAATATCGTGAATTGATCAAAAGTAGACGTTTTAATCAGTGAGTTCAAGGTCAGTGATCAGACCCGATCCCTGGTGAGGTAGTAAATGTACAACCCTGAGAATTTCCATACTAGGATGAAACAGTTGTTTAACGATTCCATGTTTTCATTGCTTAACTAACAAAGATCATTCTATTGTGACACGGATCATAAAATTCAACCATCTCTACAAACGCTTAGATTAATACTTATTGTTATTATACCAAATCATGTAAATCAACCAGCAATTTCATGATCGATTATTAATGTCAATTTTTCTTTTTTTTTCAGCACACCACATTCATATTTCAACTATGTAGGTTTATTTTGATATTTTAACATTTTATTATTGATATACCTCTTTGTTTATATATTCTGCCTGTATGTATAAGTTGATAGATGAATGTATCAAGATATTCGTCTTCATTAAAGAATTAAAAAACAAACAAACAAACAGAGAAGACAGAATCAATTGCGAGTATCTATGTAGATTGGATTGTGCCTTTTTTTAAAACAAACAATCTGTCATTTGAAGAAAAGTATGATTTAAATTTGTTTTCTTCACTTTATATAAATACAAATTAATTTCGTTTTTGTTTTTTTCTATTGGATACAAGTAAAACAACATTAAGTGAATTGGATACTTGTTTTGTTTAAATGTAAACATTTTATTGTTGTCTAAATGAAATATCTTCGAAAATATTAAAAATATATTTACATATTGTGTTACATAATATTAAACTGAGTTTGTTTATATGATTTAATGTAATTTTGAATAAATGATAACTTTCTTTGAATTGGTTAAATATATATTGATGGAGTTTTGTTCTTTGAGCTGGATGATTTGGTTGTGGAGCTTTAATCGTTCTTCTGAACAACATCATCAGCACAAACTTCAGACTGATGATACTGTTCAGAAGAACGATGAAGGCTTCACGACCAAACCATCCAGCTCAGAGAATAAAACTTCATTAAAATCATCCACCTGAGCTACAAATCTTCTCCACCATCACAATATATATGTGGAAAATACATGAAAATATGGAATTAATAAATTTTATATTGGTAATGATTTTCTTTAATAAAAGTATCTTTCAGTCGGTTAAAATATTTATTGAGAACTGTTGTTTGCAAAGCAAAGATAGTGAGTGAGTAGTAGTAGAATCCAGGACGCATGTTTCATCTTATTTGAGACTCGTCAGCTGGATGTATTTGCATTCTGGAGTGGATTTTCAATCTGTGACTCGAATCCAGTACCCTTCGCTTCAAACATCATCACGTTATTTACTTACCTACTGAGCCCTGATAGCCGCTTGCTTGTGCAATGGGGTTAATTTTTAAATTCTCTTGATGTTATTAACTTTTATCTTCACATTGTTATTTAGGACTGCTGTCTGTAAAGTTCCTGCACTATCTTCGATTTTAATCATTTTAATGGCTTATTTCAAAGTCGATCTTATAACCTTGAAATTGTCTTACTTAAATGAAGTATATGCGAAATAAGTGGATAGCCTGGAACAAGCTTTATTAGCAATACATTTTATGTATACAGATAAGCTTAATGGTGTTAAAAATAATTTTAATGAGAGCATAAGTTGACTAATCCACTACGCATTAACAAACAATAAAATGTATTTTGACTGAGAAGATGAATAGATCAACGTTAGATCCAACACATGAGATCCGAATCTAGGACCTTGTGTGGAGTCGTAGATGTGTACTGCTGAGGATTCCAGTACTAGGATCAAACAGCCGTTCAGTATTTCTAAGTTTTCAATAGTGGTCTAACATTGATCAATTCATGATCTCAATCAAAACTCAACAATCTCCACAAACGTATACTGATGATAAAATATGTATTATTGTTTGATTTTTACATAAGATGATATAATAAAAACAATTATCAGACTAGAAAATATTCACCAATATAATATTCATGAGAAATTTAAAAATAGAAAACTCAAATCATTTTCTGTAAACTTATCGAATATATATATATTAATTTATATTTAACCTGGGTGCCCTGTATGTTCTTATTTTTAAAATAGTTGCATTGCAAAAAGCAGGTGAAGAACCGAGGAAGGAACTGGACCAAATTATAATTTCATCGGCTTTAATACTATCACTTATTCAAATTTAGTCAGAAAACGTAGTTTACGTGAATTTTCAATAATAAATAGATAGACTAAATGTCTAGTTGAAGTTTAGATAGAAATAAAATATATAAATAAGCCACAATATCCTGGTCTATTTTCTGGTCCTGGTTAGATCTCTAGTTGATCATGAAGGATAAATATATTATATTAAAAATGTTCCTGGAATCATACACCTGAATAATAGTCCGTACCTTCTGTTTTCCATAAACCAATGTAAATATAAGTGAAGTGATTACTTCAGATCTATTTTATATATGACTAATTATTGGCTATATTGATCAAGAATATTTCATGGTGTTAATATTATACTCATATACAGTGCATTGAAGTGTTTTTAAACATAAACTTTGGGAAAAAATAGCTATGTTAGAGCTAGTTCAGAGCAAATGTCCAACTTAATCCATCTGTCATTTTATAATCGACGCTTAATTGGCTGAATTTAAATTTAAATTGGACATCACTGTATTACTTAGGAAACAATTTATTTGACTCTCAAAGTATATAATTAAGAATATTACTATGATCACCGAAGATTTGTATCAAAACTATTTAGACATTCAATTAATAGACTACTTATAAATAATACATACATTTAATTTATATCTTATTTTTCATTGTTCCTACCCATTCGACATTTAACTGAAACAAATTAAGGTTCATTCAAATATTCAAAGAACTGTTTGAATCCAAATGATTCAGATATATCTTGTTAGTGACTGAGAACTAATGAGAAATCTAGGCTAATTCTATCTACTTAACATTGAAACTTCACTTCACCTGTAGAACATTCTTTTTATAGCGAATGAAGTAGATAATGATTCAATATATATCATATTACTGATAACCTATTACTTATGAACCATCAATTTAAAAATATTAATTAAATACTGTAAATATTACTTACCAGCAATGAAAGAATAAGTAGATTGATTTTTAAACAGCTTTTCAAAAATGCTAAGTTTAAATTGTTGAAAACCACATTAACAGTATGTGATTGACTATGTTAATGCGTTGGATTGATCTGAAAATAACCAAAAAATAGAATTTCTTTACTTCATCTTTATAACAGACAAATTATGACGTCACTTCTATTTATTATTATTAATCTCCATATATTTAATAGTTTTCTTGTCAAAATAAGATAGATGATTATTTTTCCATCATAGTTGTTATTCATGAAAGGTGTGAGAATGTGCGGTATATTTCCTCTTTTCTATCCTCCGATTTAATTTAGTGAATATGGAAAGAATTTATTTCATAATGTATTGTGTTATCGGCTGAGAATATCGTATTACTGCCTTTTTTTAATTGCTTTTACATATATTTATCAGCAGTATGTATATGACCGAAGGGGGATTAATTTATTTAATAAAAGCCACTTCGAATATTCATTTATTTGTTCCCCCCTTCCATTTGACTTTTATTATTTATCGGCCCACCCACATTAAATATTATTTTTTTCTGAAATTTTTACGCCTGTCATTCTGTCTTTCTCTCTCTCCCACACACTCACTTGGTTGGAATATTATAAGACATACATAACAATGAATGTGTGTTTTTACTTAAGGTTAGCAGAAATTCAGACCAGTAGTAACATGCTTTCATATATAAAAATACAAAGTAGGATACGGAATGTAACCAGGTTGGTTAGAGTTTATTGACTTTCTAATCCCCACCACAACAATAAAAATTCTTTTCTCTATGATTTAAGTATAAAAGGGATAGGCAATTAATCTCTTTAAAAGTATCTCATATTTTTTATAATTAAAAAGTGTGAAGTTACTTTAGTAATATGGCAAAATGATACTTCATCATCAGAAGAATATTTAAGGGTTATAAAAGTGATTACTACAGAGATTTGACTTTAGATACACGTGATGAATTAAAAAGAAAACAACTTAAAATCCAATGGTAAAATTATGAAGACGCTTGATTTGATTTTTTTTAAAAAGACAAGTTGTTTATTTGTAATATTTCTTAAATGTAAAAAATATAAAGTAAACTGTTTGTTGCCAGTCTGTCTAAAACAGTATCCAATTGTCTATAAACTGTACTCATATGTTTGTTTGTTTATTTATTTATTAGTTAGATATATGTATAATTGGCTGGAAATATCTGCCAATCAAATCATTGTGTACATGTAAATCACAAATTCAGAGTATTTACCAATAGTGATGAAAAAGATTTTCATGCGATACTTTTTAAATGATAGAACAAAGCTGATCAAAAGTTATGCATCTGAATGATTATATCATTATTCAGTGATCACGTACAAGTTTAAAACAAAATAGTAGTTAAAAGTTGGAACAGAGTAATCGGAAACAGTCTATTATATTAATAAAATTTTATTATGAATATATTTATAAAACAATAGAGTAATGTGCAACTGAAACTTAGAAATTAATCAATATTAATGAGATAAATTATATATGACAATAATGTGGAGATGAGTCCCCAAATGGCCTGGTACAGCCGAAAGTAGGGCGAGTCAGCTCTCCCTCTCGAAATGCTCTGAAGTGACCACGTGCATACAATCACTGCCAGGGAGGTCTTACTCACTGCCTTCTCGTGATAACCATTAGCTAACGATATGTAAAGATTAAGTATTCAGGATCACCTCACTAAATCATGCGTTTTCGTAACTTATGAAACATAAGAAAAACGATATGAGTTTTACTAGCACATGATCTATGGCGTGTTATTGATAGTCTGCTGTATAAAACGTTTTACACTCTAGATAGTATCTGTGGAAATAATGAAATTAATAACATGAAAAAGAAGTTATTTTATTGTTTTTTCTAAAAAAGGTATTGTTTTCCAGAATTTGTGATGATTGTTTGTTGGTCAAGGAACTTATTGATATTCACGAAATCGTCTTCATATATGAGACTAAACTGAAAGTTTCTTTGGGTATTACATTTACGATTTACCAATCAACCATGTATGTTTTTTGTTCTATTTGGAATACTGGAGAAGAATGAACATTGAGAAAGGAAGCTATCATTGAATTTCAATTGTGTGTTTTGTATTTTCATTATTTACAAAGTCACAACACAGAGGAACTCATCTAAAGTATACAAATATATGTTACTTACTTACTAACGTCTGTTACTCCCAATGGAACATAGGCCACCAACCAACATTCTCCAACCCACTGTGTCCTGAGCCTTTCTTTCTAGTTATATCCAATTGTTGTTCATTCTTCTCATTTCTATCTCCATTTCTTGGCGTAATGTGTTCTTTGGTCTTTCTCCCCTCTTTTTGCCTTGAGGATTTCAAGTGAAGGCTTGCCTTGTGACACATTTGGATGGTTTCCTCAATGTGTGTCCTATCCACATCCAGTGCTCCTTCCTGATTTCTTCCTCCGCTGGAATTGCAATTTAATCCATCATAGGAATTTCGTATGATGTCGACTATCTACTCAATCACTCCGTAGTGTCGAAGAAGCATCTATAGTGTTTTCCTGTCCACGCTTTCTCGTAGTCAATGAAGTTGATGTAGAGTAATAAATTTCATTCTACTGATTGATACACAATTATCCGTAGTGTTGAGATTTGGTCTGTCCACGATCGATCCTTACGGAATCCAGCTTATTGGTTTCGAAGTTGAGCGTCTACAAAGTCCTTCATCCTGTTTAATAATGCCCTGTTGAAGAGTTCTCCTAGTATTAAGAGAAGAGTAATGCCCCTGTAGTTATCACACTTGCTGAGATCTCCTTTCTTTGGTATTTTGACTAGAAGTCCCTCTTTCCAGTCTGTTTATACTTGTTCTTCATCCAAAATCTTGCTGAAGAGAATATGGAGTATCTTTGCAGTTACCGTTACGTCTGCTTTTAATGTCTCTGCTGGAATGTTTTCTGGTTCTGCTGCTTTGCTACTCTTGATTTGTCTGATGACAATGATGATCTCTTCAATTGTTAGTGGGCTAACAATATATATATATATATAAACGCACTTGAGTTGCTTGGTTTGCCTGTTTAACTATCTTACTTAATTAGATATCAATTGAATTCCGAAGTAGTATGTTAAATTTATTCCCTTTATATCAGATTTGATTTGATCAAGATTTGTGTGTGTTCATTCTATATATTATACATCCTCATATTCAAGAGTTAATAATCTTACTTTTTCTAGTGTCATTTCGTCTGTTACGATTTACTATTTTGAATCAAGAACTTTTCAGGATTTTTCTTATATTGTGGATGTAAAAAAAGGGAATTGGCTATGAACATTAGTCTACCTAATTACCTCACCGTGGATGTAATTAACATTTCAGAAATTAAAAATGATCATAAGTAATGTTGTCGACATCAAAACTGTAATGCTTTCGTCAATCTATATAGATTTGACAATATATTGCATTTTTTTCTATCCTATTGATGCTTCATTTTAGGATTATCGTTTGTTTATTTAATTAATTACTAAAGCACCAATTCAATGTAAAGCGAAGTTACTATAAAGCTTGTTTGCAAACTTTAATCCATTAATATCATCCAAATCATGAGCACGTGACTTCTTCATTGATTAGAACTAAAACTATATTAATAACAGATAAACTATAAATTAAACAGTAAATTACATGTTTTATGTGTTGAATATCTTCTTCCATTTGTAAACAGACTTTGATTCGTTTATCTTAGTGACCTGTTGTCTATTGTATAGATCATCATTCATGACATAAATACTTTGGTACACCTCAATTCTTGATATTAGATGACTAGTAACTAAATCTCTAATGAACATCAATTGCAGATACACCTTTCTGAAAAGAACGAGCAACACAAGACCTACGTTAAAAGCTTCAGCTATTGAACATAGGAAAAGTAGGATAGTGAAATATTCATTTCCAGTAGTCTGATTAAATAGGCGAAATTCTGATTTTATGAACCTCACTATTTCAGTATAACAATTCAATCAGTTGTAACCACCCAAGATGTCATTATAATTCTATTTAGTTATGAAAATACAAAACTATGACAATGGTACTAATCTAACTGAATAAATAATTAAACAGATAAATTTCCTCCTCAGGAACTACTCTATCAATAATCTGTTTGGAATCTAAAGACCTTGACCTATTATTTTGTAGACAGTAGGTCTAGACCATTGAGATATTGGTAATCCGTTCTCCAGACAATTAGATCAATAAGTCATATTTACAAAGTCTATAGTATAAAAACATACAGAACACTTTTGTAAATTATTTCACAGTTCACACCTAGAATAGTATTGACAACAATAAAAAGTTTATCAGTCAATAAATTGTTTTTATTAAAGTTTAAGAGAATGAGACTAATTTTTTTGGTTAAAGATTCTAGGCTAAATTAGTAATTATGTACAAGTTAGTTTATTTGTTTTAATAGTTAACTATTGTCTAAAGATCATTTAATATTTATAGCATTCAAAGTAATCCATTGCATAAACATACATACACAAGTTCAGATTCAAGTAATTATTGTTTTCAATTATTCGTACTTTATGTTCTTATTTTAGTTACTATGTTAACAACAGGTGTGAAGAATGTCGGGTGTCAAAGTGTTCCTCTTTTATGTATTTAAATGAAATATTATCGTACATAGAGTGTCATTTTATGATTACTTCAATAAAACATAATTTCATAGTTGAATTCATGAGTCGATCACCATTTAAAACCTGAAAACACTGAATGGTCGTTTCATCTTAGCATGAGACTTCTCAGTAGTGCACATCCACGATCACAAATCAGAGGTGCTCGAACCCGAGACCTTCAGTCTCGCTCCAAAACGTTTAACCTCTAGATCATTGAGCCGGCATCTAACGTGTTTAATGTCTAACTTCGACAAATCCACGATATTGTGAGACCGTTCACCATTGTCTTCAATGAGTAACCGCCTCACAACAGATACGGTTGAACTATATTCATGAATTCAACTATTAAATTACCACAATCTCCACAAACCCCCATTCTGCTAATATTCGTAATAGTATCAAAGAATTATGTTAATCATGATTTTGCTTATTTTTTGATTCTCTCATATGAAGATGTCTAGCAAAATTTTAAAGTGTTGGATGGAACTGTGTAGCGAAGGAGAGAGAACAGTAATTTGTTTCATCATTGCACCCAGTTTCATGTTAATTAGTTAAATGTATGAGTTCAGTATATATATCATGTTGTCTAAATATGTACAACCTCTGAATCTGTTGGGCTTGTTTACTTAATAGTATTAAATGCTTGGAGATGGTCACCGAGTGAACGTCGATACGGGTTTTGTGGTATTTCCAACTAATCATTAAGAGTTATTTATGACTTTAAAGAAAATGATGATTTTGGAGTAATTGGAATCAGAGTCATTCATCATCATAATCAGAGACTTTACAAGTTGACTTTTAATTTAGACATTTATCAGGGAAAAATTAATAACAATGCTCATTGACGACGTTACCATTCATCGTTTGATTAAATATACGGGTATTTCAATAGTTGAGATCATAAGTCAATTGAAGTTAGAACACTATGGAAAACCTGGAAGCACTGGACGGCCGTTTCATCCTATTGTGGAACTCCTCAGGCTTGGTGGTCTAGGAATTAAGCGTTCGTGCATGAGACCGATAGGTCCCAGGTTCGAATGTCACGAGGCAGGATTGTGGATATACACCTATGGGGAGTCCCATAATGGGACGAAATGGCTGCCCAGCGCTCCCACGTTTTCCATGGTGGTCTAGCTTTAATTTACTCATGATCACAACTATTGAAATTACTATAATATTCACAAAATTCCCTTCTGATATAGATATTTATTCAACAGTTTGTGAAATTTATTGTTAAAATACAATTAATACTTATAGCAATTTACAGAAAAATAAACGATCATTTTGTGATAAAACATGCAATATGAAGAAAGTCGTTTATTTTAAATAGTATATTCGATTCATTACTGTTATGAGAAGAGCTAAAAATCACTGTACATGTACATATATGTACATGAAATCTATTAATAACTTTAGAAATGACATACAAAAATAGATATGATATTAAGATTCAAATAAGAAAGAAGAATAAAAGTAAACATGTGAAGATTTGTCATTTGTAGGAAGGATGCCAAATCCTTGACAGAATTTTATCGAGTAAAAGTATGGATTTAAGTAGTAAGATTAAAATATTATAATTTTTATCACATTATCAACATGTTAATGGAAAAAATAAAAAAAAACTAATCGGCAACATCCCAATGTAAATGATTGTGATGCTTAGTGTTATGACTTTATGTCCGGCTTTTTATCACGTGATTTATCCACCAATCAAAATACGACTTATACAATCTTAGCACTGTGCCAAACCAATGACGTTCGACCGGTACGAGCAGTCTAGCGTCCTTATTGGTCCCATGTCCGCCTAGCCCGTCCACTTGAGTCTAGAACACAATACCAGCTTCTGCAATATGAATCATTTATTTCAAACGTACTCGGTTCATATATCAACCAGACAGACCACAACGTACCATAAAATAAAAAATAACATTTGTACAATATTTGGCCAAATGTGGCTGTGAATGTGGGAGACAGTAGTCAATAAACTGAACATAGCTTATGAACCGTAAATCATACAATAATAAATTATAGGTCAAAATAAAGCTTATAATGAGAGGAATATAAATATACCTAATTTAATTATTGAATAGTTATACCATAAGAATGTATAGATAATATTAGTCAATTAATATGTCTCAGAAGTTACTCATGATTTAATCTTTGTTCGGATATAACACATAGAATTGATTGATTGAATTTGTAAGGACTATATATAACAATGATTTAACATATTTCAAAACTACCGTATATTTTCTACTTCTAACATGCTCTTTTATTAAAATCTAACTAATTTCACTTCAATGACAGGATTGTTGTTAACTCATATATCTACATTCAATTGATAAATATTACAGTTTAACCAACAAAATAGGTAGTTTCAATATCATTACTGTAAAAAATTGAATAGTATAACTTACTTTATTATTATTGAAAAGTCCAAATTTAGTGCAAATTCGTTTTTCTATATAAAGTTAAAAAACAAAACAAAACAATGAGTCATATAGACAACACAATTACTATTTTGAGTGGATATAAAAGAAGAAAAAAGGAAAACAAACAGAGGTAGTGAATAAACAAACTAACTAACTAGTGTACTAACTATTTAAATATTAAACTGTACAATTGTCTTAATTCCCATAAAATTAATGAAAAGTCAATCAAATCGGCTTGAATTAAAAAGGGAACATTTAAAACTGTAAAGTAAATTGCATATTAATATGAATGAATGAGTGAATGATGATTATAAGTAATATAAATATAGAAATAAACTATATATTCATAGATTAAAATGAAGGTATAAACTGATTTCTCCCAAAGAATTGATTCAATCAATTTTCTTATCACTGTAATTATTCTTGTTCTGGTTACTATTACCATTATTATTATTATTATTATTACTAATACTATTATTAGTATTATTACTACAAAAAGTAATATATCTACCGCTCTATAGTGTTTATGATAGGCATATAAAAATTATATGTATGTTAGTTTATTATTAAATTAAGTAGTTAATATTTATATTACTATTTAATAAAAAAAAGATGTCAAATAACTATTCTTCATTTAGATAGAAATAAAGAATAGTTATTTGATGGTGAGAAAAGAACTTGTTTACAACTGCCTCAAGGGAATATAAAATATGTATATTTAACACTTAATAAAATAAATATCACTGTTATTAAATAGTAGAATAGGCAAACATCTGTAAAAAGAAGAGAAAAAAAGAGATGTAAAACAAAAAGGAAAAAAAAGTGAAATTGAACATTTGGCAGTGGTAGTTTTTTTTGGGGAGGGGTGATGATGATGATGATGGTGGTGGTTGATTTTTAAATAAACTGTCTATTAAATTATTTTGTTTGTTTTGTTTTTCTTTATTATTATAAGTGGAAATTCTATACATCAGATTACATAGCTGATAAATCAGAAGAAAAATATATACATAAAGAATAATGATTATTAATTCTAGTTTGAATGAATATTACTTTGAACAGAGATTGAAAATTTTTGTTGTTCCAATTTGTACAAGATGTAAATGTGAACATTAGTATTTTGAAAGTTTTAATAATTTTCTGGTTAGCGTTTTTTTTAGCGAGATTAGTTTTCTACGGGATGGGGTTGCTAACCTCATGCTCAACCCTTCTCCTTTATCCGGGCTTGGGACTGACAATAGCCCCCGGAGGGACTCCAGGAGGAGTTGAAAGTTTTAATATGTAAAGTAAATTATATTATGATAAGATGAAAGTGGTAAAATTACATTCTTTTTTATTGATTGTGACTTCTTATAAAACATTAGTTCCATTTTTCATTCAATATGATAATTACCTAGTGTAGTATTTGTTTTTGGTTTTCAGTGTGATATTTTATTTGGTATAACGTTGATTTACTTAAAAACAGTGTCGTTTTACATGTATTTTCCCATTCTTACTTATAACTGCGATTGATCAGTCTCTTGTTGGCATACGTGCATCCTGTGCAGAACACGAGTTTCTTCCTATTTGGAACTCGCCAGCTGAATGTCCCTGCATTCCAGAGTAGATGTTCACTCTGGAACTCAAACCCAGTACCGTTCGCTCCAAACGCTATCGCGTTATCCACTTAGCTACTGAGACCTAATAGCCACCTGTTTGTGTAATGGTGATGTTTATTCAATATATATTATTGTATTAATTTAGCATGAACTATACACAGCATGACATGCAACATGTAATTTATTCTAACTCTGTATTTTTCATATATATGATCTCATTCTAATTAGTAGTCAAATAGGTTTACAATCAATATATAGATGAGTGTATTTTCAACTAGGATTGTTGTGTTTTGCGGTTTAATAAATATTGTATCAGTTTTGGTACTCTAACTTCGCGTCGTGTCGATCGCAATTGTTCCTCATTTAACAAGCATAGGTAATAAGCAATTCCGACACATCAATTAGCGACTAGTAGACATAACAATTGAAAACCAGTCATAACAAATTTGATAGTAAAATGTATTTGTTGCACAACAATATTACGTCTTATTCTAATAATACTTATTTAATGAATTAATCCTAAGGGTATTTTTTAAAATTGTTTAGATATCATCGGATAAATGCTTTTACATTTCTTATCATTCGACATTATTGTATTGACACTTAGGTAAATTCATTTGATATCTATATCAGGTCATCTATTCCAGTCTACTGAATCAAGTTATTTTTGTTCTAACGTGAATATTGACAATAATCTACATGATAATATTTGACTATAAGTGTTAGCGGAATTGTTTGTCTAAGAATATCACAATTATAGAAAAATATCTGAAATAGTGATAAATCGCTATCAAATTTGAAAGAATATTTCTTTGTTTGTTTACATGTACAGGTATTCTCGATTATCTTTCTGAGTCATCATCTTAGAAGTATATAAGTTATAAAAGACTAAATGTAATCATCCTTTGTGCTACTGTACTCTTTATGAGGATTTGAAATCATTTGAATGAATGATGTTAACCAACATTTTAAAGCTTCTGGCCATTTTGTCAATAGTGACTATCAAACACTTAAATTTTGATATATATATATATATATATATATATATATATATATATATATATATATATTGTGCCACCGTCCACCATTGTCTTCAGTGAGCTTATATCTCACAACAGACCTGGCTGAAGTCCACTGGCCACGGCTTCTCATCACTAGAACTCCAGGAAATGCCTATTGAATTCAGTCACTAGTGAGCAGATTATTATTATCAGAAGGGGTTTTGTGGAGATTTTAGTAATTTCGGTAGTTGAAATCATGAGTCAATTGAATCTAAACCACCATGGCAAACCTAGAAGTATGGCACTCCTCAGCAGTGCGCATCTACGATCCCGCCCTCCTGCAAACAACCCGGTAAACATCCTCGTTTGTAAATTTAAACATAAAATAATTAATTGTGATAACTAATTTTCAACAATGAATTAGATTAAATTCATCATTTTTATTTACTCGCACCTAGTTAGAATGATAGACAAGTTTTCAATGGAGACCTGTGATTACTTTTTCTGTCTGGATCCAATCTGTCTAGACAAATCATAAACATTATGAGCATAAAGAATATTCAACTTTCCGTAGAAAATAAACATGACAACATTAATATAATAAAATAATTCATTCATCATTTAAGTTATAAAGAAAAAAAGTGATAAACAATTCAAGAATGCATATTTTTTGTTTAAGAACCTCAAATACATGTTCTGTATGAAATGTGAAGGGAGTTTTTTTCTCATATGAAAAGTGAATATAGTTTATCAGTCAATTCTTTTTGTGTTCACATTCGGTTAATGCATTTATAGATATACGTTGAAGATTATTAAAGCATAACAATACACTTCATTTTTATATTGGTTACTTAAATCTTTCCATTGATGTTTAGGATTGTGATTGATTAATCTCTTATTTTCACAGATTGAAATCATGAGTCAGTTGAAGCTAGACCACCATTGAAAACCTGGAAGCACTGGACGGCCGTTTCGTCCTAGTATGGGACTCCTCAGCAGTGTGCATCCACGATCCCGCACCACGCGGGGCTCGAACCCAGGACCTACTGGCTTCGCGCGCGAGCACTTAACCATTAGACCACTGAGCCGGCATCCAACGGTGTTAATGTCTAACTTCAACCAATCCACGAAGTTGCGCCACCATATACCATTGTATTCAGTGAGCTGATATCTCACAACAGACCTGGTTGTACTCCACTGGTAACGGCTTCCCACTAGAACTCCAGGAGTGAATTAGTTGAAGTTATATATTAATACCGTTGGATGCCGACTGGGTCAGTGGTGTAGAGGTTCATCATTTGCATGCGAGATCGATAGGTCCTGGTTTCTAATCTTGTGAAACGGGCTGGTGGATGCGCACTTCTGAGGAATCTCACACTAGGACGAAACGGCCGTCCAGTGCTTCCAGGTTTTCAATGGTGGTCTAGCTTCAACTGACTCATGATTTCAATCTGTGAAAATTTCTAAAAAAAAATCTCCACAAACCCTTCTGATAATCTCTTATTGTCATATGTGTATCGTCTGAGGATTGCCTCGATATTACATTAAGTCACAATCTTTATAAGCAAAGATGGATAGTGGCTAGCAGTAGAGTTCAGGACACGAGTTTCGTCCTATATTCGGATTCGTCAGCCGGATTTACCTGCGTCCTAGAGTTGATGTTCACTCTGGGACTCGAATCCAGCACCGTTCGTTTCAAACCCTATCACGTTATCCACTTAGCTACTGTGTCCTGATAGTCACTAGCTTATGCAATGGGGTGAAGTTTAAATTCACTTGGTGTTGTTTGCTTTTATCTTCCCACATATTTAGTTCAGATTTAATGCAATCATTAAAAAGAAAAAAAGCAATAATTCTGGTCAGATTACATCACTTATTTGAAAGCGTTCGTTGTTACTTACAAAAAAACAAACAAACAAAAACAGTCCATTGTTATAACACATGATGTTTCAAAGTCTATAAACATTTTAAATATAAAATTGCTTTATTCATTTCTATGGGATACACTGAATCTATATATTAGCAGTTCAATTCAATTGATATAACATTTGGCAATAACTATGGGCGAATTACTCAGTTTATTATCCATACGTAAGTCACTTTTTTATTTAAAAAGATTATTAATTTTATTCATCTAATTTAGTCTACTGAATTTCTGGAAAAGCAAAAAAGACTTTTTCTTATTATCAGGAAGGGGTTTTATGGATATTATAGTAATTTCAATAGTTGAGTTCATGAGTCAGTTGAAGCTAGACCACAATGAAAAACCTGAAAACACTGCATAGCCGTTTCATCCTAGTGTGAGATTCCTCAGAAGTGCGCATCCACCAGCCCGTTTCACAAGATTAGAAACCAGGACCTATCGATCTCGCATGCAAATGATGAACCTCTACACCACTGACCCAGTCGGCATCCAACGGTATTAATATA